TTTTAGATATATTTTCATATGTATGTATATTTTCCACTAATATTATCAATATATATATATATATATATATATATATATATATATATATATATATATACATGAATTATTCACAAAACTTTTGTGTGAATAATTCATGTATTTGTAAATTGATTGCACGTTTATTGTAATATATATATATATATATATATATATATATATATATATATATATTGGGGCAGTTTTTTCAATTCTTAGGACTGAACAGCCAGACTACTCACACATAAGTTTAGATTATCGTGGTAAGGAACCAACCACACTTTTTGAAAGAACCCAATAGAGAGAACTGGCGCCCATATTGTTTGAACCTCTTGATGTTTTGAATTCATAGTTGTCATTCTCCTCGAATCAATCAAGGTTTTAAGAATTTCAAGGTTTTCAAGAATTTTCAATCAAGGTTTTCCATACTATTTAAACTATAGCCAGTGGGAGGGAACAGAAGATGGATTCATATCTTCCCCAAGTGTATTTGCGAATGCATTGAATTCGACAGAAATACGAACTCGGCTCTTCAATTTCTTTTTCTTTGCTTCTATCAGTTACATTATCCGAACATCTACGATATATGTATATGCAACAGGACTGGTGATATAACTCTTGTACAACAATTCTGATGAAAACCAAGCTGATTTTGAAAAATCCTATTCAGGCAAAACGAGAATGGAATTTTTTATATACAGGGACGGTCTAGCGAAGAAAAAAAGAGAGGCCTTCACCCCAAAGGACAATGTACACTTGGTCATGTATAACAGCGGGAATGTAATGATTTGGAGAAGTTCTCAACTTGCCCCCCCCCCACAAAAAAAAAAATTAATGGCACCATGAAAAGAGGGGCATAGACTAAAATATCAAGCAATCTAAAGAAAAAACTTGGCCATAGCGAAGACTGTATAAAATAGCAAGACAGTGATCTGAAAAATGCAGCCAAGCTGGACCAGAATTGATAACGATGTCAACACTTTGGAGTGTTCAGCTAATTGTCCGTACTCGAACCCTTTCGATTTCTCCGGATGAAGGTCAAGACAAGAGTGATGTCATGAAAGTCTGGAAAATTAATCATCTGAAGAACTTTGCAAAAAGGAACTTGCTTGAAAAACCATTTATAAAAAGGACAACAATATTTTTATAAATTAGAAACCTTTCTTTGAGGCTTTCATGCCAAATTGAAACTTTGGCACTTAATCTGATATAAAGGAATTATTAATTTTGAACATAGTATTTTCTATATGTTAATAATAATAATAATAATAATAATAATAATAATTTCTGTTTGTTAATTGGACTAAGTATTGAATTCTCTGTACATTCATTTTTGCAGTCGTTTGCCAACAAGTTGTACGATAAACTGCGAAAATAGTATATTTCTTCCAAATAAAATTTTACAATACATTAAAATTATCAAGAGTATGAATAAATTTTAATGTAATTGTATACCAAATATTCCACGCATACACATAGCTATATATAAAATGTATCATAAATACACAAACATATATTACCTATGCTACACAAACAAACACACACACACTATTTTAATCCACATATATATATACGATATTTAACCTATACATGGTATTTAATCCGCATATATATGCACATGAATATGATATTTACAACGCATTGCTAGGCTTGAACCTGGACCATGCTTCAAGGTGGGTAGGTCTTGCCAACGAAACTTGAAAGTTTGTATTTTTTAATTGTTTGTAAGTGGGCTTGAACACCAACCACAGACGTTGTTAAATATGCAAAAGATCTAGAAATTGAAAAGAGACAATGGCCTTAGTTCTCCGTCGTTCAAGAAGAATAAATGCACTTACGGGCTGAATATACTAATTACATATTTCATGCAAATGACATTCAAATGCTATAATTGTTAAATAATTTATGGGATTCTCAAGGATTTCTGACCGATAGGCCACGTTCCTTGGCTGCCTGATCTCAACGAAAACTACAAAACAATATTATGTTATGCATATGAGAGGCGGACTTTAGGGTACGAAACACACGCTGCGCATTGTGGGCATAAGACATTAATTAGTTTTTTTTTTTGTTTTTTTTTATTTATTTATTTTTTGTTTGTTTTTTTGTTTTTTGTTTTTTTGTTTTTTTGTCATGTGGTCATTTCATTCGGCTCATTTTAGAAGAAGAAACAAGAATTCTCTTTTTTACGTTTTTCTAAACAAAATAGCGATTAGAATTATTCAACGCTTGGCGCACATTTTGTTAGCAACCACATTTCGTAATCGAGATTTTCACCTGATTCTTTTGCCTCAGCTATGGGTTAAATAGTAGCAGACCGGTTGCCAACCGTAGCTCTCTGGCCATCGTTGGCAACAAGTCTAGATAAACAACTCGAAATGCTCTGGTGAAACACATACAGTTATGAAAGGATTATGGAGTGATCTCAAGTTAGGCCGATGTTTTGTTTGATCGATCCATGATCAGCTCTCTTATTATAATTGTGCTTGTCAATCCATTCGTTAGTTCGAACGACCATTACGCCCTGCCAATACCACGTAAATAATAGACTATCCCGTTTTAATCGGGTGAAAAAGAGGAAAAGACTACTTGGTTTCAGTGAGAGAAAGAAAGTAAGAAAGAAAGAAGTGGAGAGAGACAGAGTCAGGTTAAGCTGATAAGAACAGATACTATACTTTGATCTTATTATTTATTTGCACCAAAATGTGCCATAAGGCTAAACGGGTGGGGGAGACTGGTCTTTCTAAACCTAAATGATAAGTCTAACAATGATTGTATCATATCTTATTCCTCTATCGTCCATATAAATGTTCTTGAATGCGATAGAATTCACCAATACTCTTTAGGAATGATCATAAAGAATATAGATGTTTTTGGATGTAACGGTTATCGGCACATGAAATAGAATCGGCAATCCGAGTTTAAGTTCCAGCCATGAGGACGTTTGATTTCTTCTCTCCTCAGCATGGTAGACTAGGTTATTTTGCCGTTGATAGCAGCTAGTCTAAGACAATACTAAATTCAAAACTATAGTGAGAGCAACGAAAAAACACTCCGCTATATTTCTCAATAAGCCATACCAGTTCAGGGATAATAAACAAAAGAAAGCCATGGAGAGCCGTATCGAATTAACCACCATTGGTCAAGTTCAAGAATAAGAATTATATGTTTTGGCTTTGAAATATAAAAGAAACTTTCATTTATTTGTTTTTATTTGTGACTTGGTGTCTAGAAGAAATTTAAATCATGTTTTGATCGTTGATTGGCCGCTTGCAGCAGATGTAAATCCAGTTATATAGAAATTACATATGTAGGTGTATTAATTGCCGAATATAATTATTACTCCAACAACAAAACTAAAACAAGGTCAAAATAATAAAAAGCATTGTTAAAACAAGTTCTGTGTCAGTGGTCCACATTAAAGACCAACTAAAAGTGAAATCATTCACAATATAAAAGCTTTCCATGGTTGACGGGTTTTAAGCACTGCTGGTTTAACCGTGGTTCACTTTACAAAATAGCGGAGGTTCGATGTGTTTCCCAAGTGGCGTATGTTACACATAGACAAACGCGTACAGATAATATATAAGTATACTATGTTAAATTTTATCAAGCGAGTCATTTTTATTTTTACAATAAACCGGTATAAATCCAACGATAATTCTAATATTATCAGGATATCGTTATATGAGCAATATATCGTATGATTTCCAACTTATAATATCCTTATATGTTTATAATACGTTCAAAATATCCTTGTTAAAATTATATAAGATCGGGTAGTATTATGTCTTGTGGATATATTAGTAGAGAATCATCTATGTATCTGAAATTAGCAGAACTGTGTGGTAATTTTTTTTTTTTTTTTTTTAAAGAACCAGAAACTAAAAAAACGGTGGAGTAATGGATAGCGGCTCGGATTGAGGAATCGGAGAGCCGAGTTCGAATTCCAGTCGAATCCATTAGATTCACTTACGTGCTAATACCCTTGGGAAAGGTATGAACCCTCTTATTCTTCCCTTTCCCCGCCAGCTATGGGCAAATAGCAGGACAGACTTGGATGGCAACTGGTCTACCGCAGAAAGAAATGGCAACTTACTGCAGAAAAAAATCTGCCTCATCAGTTGTGCATCACACATAGCAGATAATTGAATGAATATACACGTGTTCGACAAAATTCGAAAAATATTACTACACCCGGTCGACGAAACAGTCGTTAATATCCGTTTCTAACGGATCTACCAAGACAGTTTCGCAATATTTCACATTTTGAGGTCCGAAACGTTCAATAAAATCGATTTTATCAGAAGAAATTTTGTTTTTAATCTTAATAATTGCGCCTAAACTAATGTAAACAAACGGGCGAGATCGGTTTGTTTACCTTTACACTTTACAATACACACTGAACGTTCGTATCCAATTATGGTGTTAAATTAAGATTTTATTTAGAATTAAACCTATGATTCTGTCAGGTGGGGCCCAGTAATATTTAAAATCGAAGTGAAATCCATATCTGTGGCGTATTTATAGGAGCTTTTATTTCGATACACGTGTCTTCGTTTACGCAAAAACAGCTACTGCACAAGCATATTAATATATAGATTATAGTTCTGCTTAGAAAATATTTAATATACATAAAATATTTATATACATAATTCAAATGTTTTTAAAAATTTTATCTTGTGAACGTAAAAAATTGAAATAAAGCGTTTGTATCTTGGAATAATGTTTTTTTTTAATGATTCGTTTTCTACGACTTATCAGACATGTGTAGGTTATTTAAAACCAGAAATATTTTTAGATTATAAGAATTTTTTCGATAATAAAAGTTTAAGTATACAAGTCATACTAATTAACCTATATCTGAGGGATAAGAGGTGGATTTTTTGCGTCTAAGGGAATGTAACGAACCCAACCGGAACTAGAACACGGCAATCTGATTTCAAATTACGAACCATTAAACATTACACCACCTGTACATCCAGCTTACAGCATCTGGTATTCCCAAAAGGTCATTCATCTAGGTACTGACCAGGCTCGACGCTGCTTAACTTCGGTGATCGTACGGGAACCAGTTGGAATAATGTGCTATGCATATATGTAAATATACAGTAAAACCTTGTCTTGAATCTTCTCATTTTTACCCTCTTACTTCTTAAAATAATAACTTATGGCTGTTGTAATATTTTGTTAAAATATTTCACAATGCAATAGGAGAATTTCCACGTGTATTGCAAGATTATCGTAATCGTCAAAATCCTTAAATTAAGAAATGACTCATTTGAAAATTAAAAATTGGAAAACAGTGAAATTTTCAAGTGTATTACAAATTCACTATCAAACTAACCACACACAACAACCTATCCTCTTCCGTCTAAGCACAGCGACAAATATTTCAGATATATTAATAAAACAAACAAGATAAGTCAGTAAGTTTCCACTTGTTTAACAGTTAACTACATCCGGCAGCAAGGCCTCTGATCGGAAGATTAGAGGCTTTGAGGAGCGTGACACCCCCTCTTAATTGCCGTTGTTCCCAGGTCCACCCTGACTCGAGGTGGTAGCACCTGTTACAGTATCAGCTATGAGTAAATAGGGAATCACTCCCAAAAAACATCAAAACACTAAGTATAAAAAATACATTTTTATAGTAAACAATAACCTATTTATATAAAAACAAAATTATCAACAAAACATATTTATAGTAAAATTACCAACAATATATCAATCAACACGAAAGAACTCTTTCATGGCATCAATCTATATAATATCCTACAAGAAATCAAACTGTATTCCAAGATATAACTTCACCAAAACTATAACATAAAACCAATATATCATCACCTCTAGTAATTATGTCCACACAAATATGTATATGCACAAAAGCTGAGTATCATCTACCGTGCATTCAATTGTGAACGTAGAGTGCCATGTCATATTTTTTATTACTTCAAAGCTCACACGAAAATTAAATTTCGGCATTAAATGGCTCATAAAAAGTTGATATGTCATTAAACAAACAAATCAAATCAACTTGTTTAACAGGCCGTGGTAGACGCTTAACTTTTATACTCGTTATTTAAATATAATCTTTGATATATTTTTTGTATAGTTCATGCTGTGAGTGTCATTTTTTCATGTTCTGAATGTCATCTTTCATATATTTCATGCTCTGAATGTGATGTTTTGTATGACATTTCATGCTCTGAATGTAATTTTTTGTATATTACAAGCTCTGAATGTCATTTTTGTATCATATTTCATGCTTTCAATGTCATTTTTTATATGATATTCATGCTTTGAATGTCATTTTTCGTATATTTCATCCTCTGAATGTCATTTTTTGTATGATATTTTATGCTCCGAATGTCATTTTATGTATATAACAAGCTCTGAATGTCATTTTTTTGTATGATATTTCACGCTCTGAATCTCATTTTTGTATATTCCATGCTCTGAATGTCATGTTTGTATGATATTTAGTATGTAGTAGCTGTTCACTCTCACCCTCTTAAAATTTTGTCTGAATTTCTGGCATGAGGAATTTTCAGGATTTACATGCGGACTATTGTCTTCATCTTTGTTGTTATTATCACACAACAAAGATGAGGGGAATAGTCCGCATGTGAATAACGTAAATATGATAGTAGCCTAGACCAAGGGATTATAACATCTTTCCCATGGAAGAGAGAGGGTTGGCGGATACCAGCGTGACAGGGATCGCAGGTACTGGTCAGTTTTTGGTCCTTCAGTAGGGTTGCCAAATTAGAAAATCAGAAATACGGGGATACTCTTAAAATCTTTCTCTCTCTCTCTCTCTCTCTCTATATATATATATATATATATATATATATATATATATATATATATATATATATATATATATATATATATATATATATATATATATATATATATATTTTTATATATATATATATATATATTTTTATATATATATATATATATATATATATATATATATATATATATATATATATATATATATATATATATATATATATATATATATATATATATATATATATATATATATATATATATATATATATATATATATATATATATATATATATATATATATATATATATATATATATATATATATATATATATATATATTATATATATATCTATATATATATATATATATATATATATTATATATATATATATATATATATATTATATATATATATATATATATATATATATATATATATATATTATATATATATATATATATATATATATATATATATATATATATATATATATTATATATATATATATATATATATATATATATATATATATATATATATATATATATATATATATATATATATATATATATATATATATATACACTAATAATATATCATATAAAACGTTAAAAACCAAGTAATGATTTTAATGGGTTATGAGACAATAAGATCAAAATCATTTGAATATTATTTAATACACACTAAGAAAAAGAAATTCTGTAAAAGTGAAATCATTTGAAAATATTTATTTCATACAGACAACAGAGAAATAAACATGTCAGTTTTGTGTAAACTTCTAGCAACCCTAGTTTCTTCATTACATTTGGGTTATTTTCATCAAGCGAATCCAAGGAAAGAAAGCATAATTACTTATAAAGTTACAAACAAGAAGGTAGTAAAAATATATTTTATTGCGAAATTTGAAAATGAATTAATTAAGGGACATGTGGGGTGTCCCTGAAAGGTCAGTACGGGACAGCGGACAAAAGTATCCAATATAGAACATGTCCAGTATATAAGGGACGTCTAGTAACCCTATCCTAAGGTCATATACATGCCTATGGGCACCCCTATAGAAAAAACAGCCTTGTGTCACATCCCGTATGGACGAGAGTAAAGAGCCAGTTAAAGTGTAGTATCTGTTCTCCTCCCTAAGCTATGAGGGAAGCCTGACCCCAGAGATTCCAACACAGTGGTAACTCCTTCCCCATTGCAAGGGATTGTTGGTGAATACCGACGCCAGCATGGCGAGGGCAGCGGTGATTGGACAACTTTTCTCTTTGGTCCATATGTATTCTACATTAATTTGACTATGTGAATATTCAATTCCTAACTTCATTATTCCATTTTTTATTACAAAGGTTTTTCCTTGGAATTCACACCACTAAAAAGTAATTTGCATCCATTATCTCAAGTCGTTACTAAACATGCTCTGTTGATTCAACTTGACAGAGATGTTTTCCCTTGAGATGTCGTGACCTGAGCTATTAGTCGGCGAGGCATTTGTCGACGAGTAGTGGAGGCAAACAAACGTATCAAGTGACTAAGTTTGTCTTGACGTGCCTTTGTTTCCCAGGGGAAAACCTCTGCGTCCTGGCCTAAACACAAATTGTAGGGCAAATGGAGTCAAGGAAAAGGCACCCATTAAAAACAGAGGCCGGAAAGAGGAGACACGAGAAGAGACTTGAAGATCAGAAAAGATATTATTAAGATGATGTGGTTATTAAAAGATGGATCTGAACGTGTGTGCGTGTGTGTTGTATGTGTGTGTGTGTGTGTATGTGTGTCTATGTTGGTATATTTGGAAAAAAAAATCTTATTGCTGTAAGTATACCTGGATATTTTAAACAGATTTCTTGGTATCTGTCGTAAATAATCGTGTATTAGTCGATACTGATATCGTGGTTAGAGCGAGTAAAGAAATTATAGTTATATTTCTTAATTTACACACGCACGCACACACACACACATATATATATATATATGTGTGTGTGTGTGTGTGTGTGTGTAGACACACACACACACATATATATATGTGTGTGTGTGTGTGTGTGTGTGTGTGTGTGTGTGTGTGTGTGTGTGTGCGTGTGTAAACTAAGGAATATAACTATAATTTCGTTTCTTTTAATATATATATATATATATATATATATATATATATATAAAGTGACACTGAGATCAAAAGTGGATGGCGACAATCTTTTTTATGGTTGAACGCAATCTTCAGGCTGAAGATTGAACACTCTGATACTGAACACGTTTAGCCATACATGTAGTATACCGTAAAATTAATAGTTCAGACTTAGTGTTAAGAGTCATAACTCTGCACCTAAAGATTGCGTTGTACATGATACTCCGAGTAGTGCTACCTGTGAGGATAAATATATATATATATAAATATATATATATATAATATATATATATATATATATATATATATATATATAGAGAGAGAGAGAGAGAGAGAGAGAGAGAGAGAGAGAGAGAGACCACTTTAAGGTTCCATGTAATAAATTATTTCACCACAGCCCTTTTAAAGGACTGCGGATCATCAGACTTCAAACTTCCAAACAAAAAATGAAAAGAAAATTTACACATTTTTGACGGGCCGTATTAAACATATGTAAATTAACGAAGTGAGGAAGTGAGGGGGGAGATAGATGACATGAGTGAGTTAGCATATATTGACACATTTAAACGGTTAACTTAACGGAAGTTATATCTTGATATCGAAGGGGCAGAGAAGAAAAAACCCATAGAGAGAAAAATAGAGAAGGAAGTTATGAGAGAAGATGTCACTAATTTTCTTTGTAAAAAAAAAAGGCTAGAAACAGACGCTGTTATTTTGCTTTACTTTAAATTATTTGCTCTGGATTTTATCCTCCTTAGGTTTACCCATACGGATTACCTAGTTTTTCATAAACTATATATATATATATAAACTATATATATAAACTATATATATAGAGATAGATAGATAGATAGATAGATAGATAGATAGATAGATAGATTTTTATTATTTTTATTTTTTATTTTCATTATTATTATTAGGCCAGTAGACAAAATACACGTGCGATATAGATTGAAAGGCACAGAGAAAGAGATAGTAACTAGTTAATATTCAGCACTTTACTTACAAAGACTGCTTACCTTATAAGCGTTATCTTACAGAAATACTCTGGCAGATCGTTTATGTTTTTTGTTTGTTCGCATTTTTTGTTTTTTGTTAAATACGATGTTTGTCAATATTATTATTAGATAGATAGATAGATAGATAGATAGATAGATAGATAGATAGATAGATCTG